GCTTACTTGCTTACTTGCTTACTCACAACTAGTTGGACCTCAGCCATTTTTTAGAAATGCTGAGCTGAAATTTGATAAGTTTTTAGCCAAAAGCAATCCCCACGTCATTTAATTTAGAGATATTAAGCTGAAGTTTAGAGTGGTGGTAGCTGACAGTGATGTCTAATAGATTCTAAAATCTAATTTAAAAAAATTCAAAATGTTCACCAAAGCTAAATTCAAAATGGCTGTAAGTCAGCTATTTTTATACATATTGAGCCAAAATTTGGTGTGATAGAATCATTGCTTTTTAAATTAATTCAGTGGTTTAAAAAACTTGTTTTTCTCTTCCCACACTGATTGGTTCCCTCTACAGCTGCTTGATAACTTTTGTTGCCAAATGCGATCCCCACCCTCACTTGTCAATCATTTGTGGGTGGCACCAGGGGTGGCCAATCAGGTGCCAGGTGTGGCACGTGCCCCCCTGGCCACTCCTCTGGCTCCACCCCTGGCGCCAAAATCCCTCTGTGGCTCATTCTCTTTTGTTGTGGCCGTCATTAGTGTGTATGTGTGACGTCACACCTCGGTGGGAGGTTCCCCCAAAAAGTTCCACTGCTGAATTCAAAGAGGTCACACGAACCGCAACATAAATGTCACAGTTTCACTGAAAACCAGCTCCGTTCACACGGACCCTCAGCGTCGAACAGGACTGCGAGAAGTCTACGCTGATTTATTTCACCTTTCGATGCCCTTTTCAATCCCCCGCATCTCCCTCTCCTGTTTGTGCGAAGCTGTCAAACTGCACTGAGCTGTCGTCAACACGGGGCTCTTAAAAATGTTTTCYGACTTGCTCTCAGAAGGTCTCGTCTCCTGCTGCATGCTAATGTCCCCGCGTCCCTGCGCCGGTGGATAAACAGAAAACGCCGCCTGAAATCCCTCGTAATCTGCTGACTTACAGCACAACTCTGTTTCCTGTGAAGCTCTGAGACCACCAGCCGTGTTTTACTTGAGCAAGAAAAGAATATAAAAGTAGCTACTCCATTTGTAAGTGGTCTACCTAAACACAGAGACAGTTTGGACTGGATATGTGAATTTATTTAAAGAAAAACAATAGATAGTAATACAATAATGAAGCAGCACGATGAACTGGAAGCTGATCTCAGAGGAGAGAAGAACTCTTGTAAGAAGAAAAACGACGAGCAGCTCTTATAAATAACAGTGCCAGGAAGTTATTCCTGTGTTCGTTAAACCATTAAACCCAAACTTTTTAGACTTGTGTACCCCCTGAGCCATTTTATCATACCACTAGTACCCCCTCAGTCAAACGTAATGATTATTCTCCAAAACTATAATGTACTACAACTGATTATTAAATGAAAATTATTTATTTAACTCACTATAATGTTTAATTCTCAGGCATTTTATTCTTTTCAACTCAAATTACACATAAATATAAATATATTGCCTTGATAGTGAATAAATAATTAAATAAATAAACCAGAAAATGGCAGGTGCAGGAAGCAGAAGCGTCCAAAATTCATTGCATTGTCCAAAATACATCAAACACCCAAAATGAGCAAATTCTGTGAGATTCTGCTTTTTATCCAGGATTCTATTTTGTGTCAGTTTTGTGACTCCATTGACATTTTCTGCATTGCAGAAATCATAGGACCCTACCTATCTCAGTCCTATTTTCATTTTCATTTTTTTTTTACACACCTGGGAAATTTTTCCACGTACGTCCTGTAATATGCTCGCATACCCCTAGGGGTACACGGGTTGTAAATCACTGCATTAAACCAACATCACAGCAGTAACTTAAAATTTTCATTCTCAAGTGCATGTAACATCAGACTCCTTGAGTGCAGCTTCCTGTGTGGTTCTGGTTAAAAAAAATCACTGTTTATGTACTTGTGACTTCAGTATATTTCTCATATTAAGCTTTGTGCAGCCTGTTGTAGCAGTGACCTATATTAAAATCCTGTCTGTAAGCAGACTAAACACAATCTGTGAACTGATGAACTGTGAACCAGGCTGGCCAGACACAAGTCACCCAGGGGCCACATTCAGCCCGTGGGCTGCCAGTTGCCCATCCCTGTTCTATTATAAATTAAATATTTTTACTTTAATGCACCATTTTTCACTTTATTGTTCACACTGAACACCGGGACCTGTGTAAGCAGTTTCTTTACCTTTCATGAACATCTGATGTTTGTTTTTGAGGGAATGACAAATAAATATCCTGGAACCCTTGATCATTAAGTTAGAAAGATCTTGAAATGCATTTTAAATTTTACACGCAGCCAGTGTAACGAAGAGGAAGATTTTAAGGGAACAATTTGGACACATGAATAAAACAAAATAAGAATCAAGTCTATATAATTTRAGTCGTTTCTAAATTAGCTCCATTTTAAGCAAAAAAAAAAAAAGAAATTCTGTGCACATTTACCTTGCCGTGACACGGCTGCTGCGACAGTTCGGAGGTGCACCACAGGTGAGCAGCCATCTTGCAGGTTTTACATCGCAGAGCTTGTTTGGAGTTTCCTGCAGGGAGGAACAGAGGCCATAATGAGGGCAGTGAACCCAGACAATTAGTTACAAATAAATAAATAAAAAAAGGCAACGTAAGAAAAAATAAAGTGGCTGTCAGATCTCTAAAATAGGTTTTTGTCTTCATCAGGTAATCAAGTTTTCCTTTTTTGTTTCCAGACTGAGAGTTTTCTGTGTTGACACTAACGGCTTTATAATCAACAGCTCCTCGTCTGGGAAAAAATGTTGTGAGATTGAAAAGCAACTGGAGACATTTTCATCATCATCGATTTGGCAGTGATTCATCAAGTTCCCTGTGTTTTTTAAATGAAAGTGCTGAAAGAATAAAATCCTCCTCAGCACCCAGATGCTTTCGTCTCGTTTGTTTTGTGATGAGATAACCACTGTTTATTGTGTTTTTAATAACAAGAAGCTGTGACCCCTTTTTATCCTCCACACCAAACTGATTTCTGAATTTGTCACGGAACGATGGGGGAAACATCAACAAGCCACTTCAGTATCAGGGAGGAAAATAAAAATCAGACGGCTGAAAGAAAAGGCAGCGTTTATTTKAAAGAGGAAAATTGATTCTACTTAATCAGCTTAACTGGGAGGAAGAGGCTAGACTTTATTCGAGGGCTGCTGATGAGTACAGCCAGAACGAGACGGTGCRTTTACATAAATAAACTTCACAATGCAAAATAACGGCACGGACGCAAACACAAGGGATCAGTGTGGAGGCTGTAACCAGTCACACTGACAGGAAGCAGATTTAGCAGAAATACTAGCAGCTATTAGCTCACAGGAGCAGCAAATTGGGGATAAAAACAGCTACAATTCTGCAGTAAAGCTGCACTGATGGTATTATAAAGTCCAGATTTAAGCTTCTTAAAGGATCTAACTTTAAACTAATTGTTGGACACTTTATCACCTTTTTTTTATTTCTGATGGAGCGTCTCATAAATGCTACAATCAGAAGCTAATTAAAGACAAATCCTGTGTAAACCACTAAAATACAGTTACTAACCTGTTAAGATCAGGGTAAAGAGCTGTGAGGATTTTATTACTGATAATATTTTATTATTATTATCATCATCATCATCATCATCATACAAATTCAATTCCAATGAAGTTGGGACGTTTTGTAAAACATAAATAAATACAGAATCCAGGGTCTGCACACATTTTCAGTGGGAGACAGGTCTGGACTGCAGGCAGGCCAGTCTAGTACCTGCATTATTTACTGCGAAGCCTCACTGTTGGAACACRTGTAAAACGTGTCTTGGCATTGTCTTGCTGAAATCAGCAGAGACGTCCCTGAAATAGACGTGGCTTGGATGGCAGCATGTATTGCTCCAAAACCTGTTTGTAGCTTTCATTATCTGTGCCTTCACAGATGTGACAGTTACCTATGCCACTGACAATACACCCCAATACCATCAGAGAGGCTGATTATGAACTAAGCACTGATAACAATCCACAATCATGGACGCCATGTCCATGATTTCCAAAAACAATCTGAAATGTGGACTGGTCAGACCACAGGACACTTTCCCACTTTGTGTCAGTTCATCTCAGGTCCAGAGAAGCCGACTGTGTTTCTGGGTGTTGTTGATATCTGGCTTTGTCTTTACATGGTAGAGCTTTAACTTGCACTTGTAGATGTAACGACAAAATGTGTTCACTGATAATTTTTCAGAAGTCTTCCTGAGCCCATGTGCAAATATCTGTTACAGAATGAAGTTGGTTTTTAATGCAGTGCTGCCTGGGGGGGGGGGTCAAAGGTCACGGGTGTTCAATGTTGGTTTTCAGCCTTACTTGCAGAGATTGATGATATTATGAACTGTTGATGATGAAATCCCCAAATTCTTTGCAAATGTATGTTGAGAAACAGTGTTCTTAAAGTGCCAGTGACATCAATTTTTGTAATAAAATTGAATGTATTTTTAGAAGGATAACATTGACAACATATTGTAAAAAAAGATTTCACGCCGCTGAGATGAACAGTTGTTGAGATATTTGCTCGTGAAACAACAGGAAGTGATGTCGAAGGGGAATGTCTGCATGCGAACAGAGCGTTGCTAAAATGGCTAACAGCACAGACTGTAGAGAAGAATCTGATGTTTCTTTGGATTAATTTTAATCACTATCATAGAGAGATGAGAAAGAGTCAGAGTTCAAATACTGTAGTTTAAATAAACTGAAACCAGGGAGTTTCATTTCTCAGAGTTCCCCTCTGATGTCACTTCCTGTTTCACTTTAGATGAGCAAAATTCTAAAGAAAATAAGCCAATTATGTGACATAATGGGTAAAATCATGTGTTTTATGCCAAGTTTCCTAAATATAAATATATTTTCTTTGACTTTTTTGTATTTCATGAATGTGCATGTCACAGGCACTTTAAACTGCTGTTACTGTAAATATGTGAATGACTGAGCCTTTTGGGGATGCTCCCTTTATATCAGTTTCCAGTTAACATTTCACCTGTAGAGTGATGCAAGCAGGTGGTTTTTTATTTTATTTTGAGCATTCTTCAACTTTCACAGTCTTTTGTTGCACCTGTCCTAGCTTATTTCTGTGCTACAGAAATTTCAAAATGAGTGAATGGCTGTGTCCAAAACGACAGGCCGGGTCCTCCGGAGGACCCAGACAACCCGGTCGAGGCGGGCCGGGTCCTTGGTAGACCGGGAAGCCCGGAAAAAAAGAGTATGTGAATTTGGACGGTCTAGCCTCCCCTCCTTACCCCGGCGTACGTCATGTCACCTAGCAACTGTGACGACGCTAAACAAGCAAACTTAAATCAAAACTAGAAAAATATCAATACATTAGCATTATTAATATCACAAAACTATAAAATTAACTTAAAAGTATAATTTGAAGAACTAATTGACCCGCTGTAGGTGCATGTTTATTTCGCGTTTTTTTTATGACAAATATAATATTTAAAAACACGTTTACACAAATGATAAAAGTATTAGAATTACAACCGCTAAAAAATTTAATTTTTATATCGCCGTATTTTTATTTAAAATGTATTATTCTCTCTCGCTTCATCCGCCATTACTAGCTTAAAAAATCTCCGGTCGGGCCGCAATGCATTATGGGATACGCTGGGCCGGGAAGGATCATCGGACCTGTCCTTCGATTCNGCAATGCATTATGGGATACGCTGGGCCGGGAAGGATCATCGGACCTGTCCTTCGATTCAGGCCAAAGGAAGGACGTATTTGTCGGCCGCATCGGAGGAGTCTTCGGTTTTGGACGTCCTTCGTCGCGGCGCTGTGACGTACGCGGCCGACAAATTCGGCCTTCGGAGGACCCGTCCTGCCGTTTTGGACACAGCCTATATTTGATTTAAAAAAAACTTTCAGTTTGAACATTAAATATCTTGTCTATGTAGTGTATTCAACTGAATATATGTTGAAAAATATTTGTAAATCATCGTATTTTGTTTTTATTTATATTTTACCCAACTTCATTGGAAGTGGGTTTGTAGGTTAAAGGCTGGCCCTCAGAGAGTCTTCTGCCCTCTGAGTAAATTCTGCTGCTGAGGAGGAGTTCTGCAGACTTTTTTTGTCTACAAGRTCACAATAACTTTATAACGGTTGTTAGTTTGCCCCAGATAAGCACTCCTGACTCTTACCCACTATCATGTGCTTGCAGTGCTGGCAGTTGGTGGGCTTTCGAAAGACGTGGTCCTGGAAGCAGTGGTTGACCTGCGCCCGGGCCGGCTTGGCGGGCAGCGAYGGGGACAGGCTCAGAGACGGGGAGTGGGAGGAGACGGAGAGGTTGGGGCTGAGGGACGGCGAGATGGACGGCGAGCGCTCGCCCACCAGAGGGGAGCCCGGGGGCAGAGGCGGGGACGGCGGCGGCGGGTCGGTGATGAAGTCCGGGGGCAGGCGGGCGTCGCTGTAGGAGCGCTGGAAGAAGTTCTCCACGCTCTTGCTGCGCATCATGGTCTTGAAGGAGAGYGAGCGTTTCAGTCTCTGGAGCTGCGGAGATGGAGAGGAAGAACAAAGAGGAGATAAGCAAAAGGTAATAAATGTTTAATGCACCCTCCGGACAGAACAAGCAATAACCCCGCAACCATAAACAAAACACTCTGACTCATGAAATGTAATATTGCCTTCAAAGGAAGCAACAAATTATTAGTGAAGTCCACTTCAGTCAGACAAACAGATTTAACTGTGACCTCTGGTGAAACGTGATAAGCCTTTCTGCTTCGTGACCTGAGGCTGCCGCACCAATTCAGCCTTATCGTGTTTTACCAGCAAGACATTCTGCTGCTTCGCCCAATAAAAGGTTTGTTTAGCACCTGATGCTACTCACAACTTTACTGCAAATATCCTTAAAGACGGACGCAGCCTCTCTCCGGGGCGCCAAGCGTATAATGAAATCTTACAAAATTTCACCAACATATTTTTCATTATTTAGCTCAATTTTCTTACATTTAGCTAATTTTTACTAAATGTTCAATTTAAATGTTAAAACATATTTAAATATTAAATGTACATATTTAAATCTAAATGTAAAAGTTAAACCTTTAATATTGAAGTTCACATTTATATGTATTTTGGAATGGAACGCAGCCTTGGCTCGTGTTATGACATCATCATCCTGAGACAACAGCAACAGCTAGCTCCAATGCAGCTAAAGCTTCCCCACAAGACATCAAACTTGCAGTTATGGCTGGTGTCTGAGCTGCACTTCAAACTGCTGGACCTCAGGGACCACCCTTATTGTTTTTATGAATACATTTTGAATTWAGATTTTAATCATTATCTTCTGCAGTGTGTTAAAAAATGCTTTAGCAGATTTTAGCATCAGATAACCAGGATGATGTCATCATCCTGCAGCAAACACCAACAACGGCTGCTGCTAGCCTCTGCTAATGCTGCTGAAGATAATTTATAAAATACCAGCCATAACTGCAAGTTTGATGTCTTGTAGGGAAGCTTTAGCTGCATTGGAGTGCTAGCGGTTGCTATTGTCTCAGGATGATGATGTCATAACTTGAGTGAAGCACAAACAGCAAAGGCTGCGTTCCATTCCAAAATACCTAAATATGAACTTCAACATTTAAGGTTTAACTTTTACATTTAGATTTAAACATTTAATGTTGAAATATTTTTCAACATTTAAATTTATTTAGAATAAAGG